GCAGCTTTCCTCTAGTTCTGGCTGAGTTGGTTCTGACAAGTTGTTTGGTGTCCCTCTCTATCCTTCCATTCTCTGGGCTGTGGGCTGCTTCCTCCTGATTTCCCAAACTTCACTCTGCACTCCTTATGGATGATCTTGCTGAAGATGTTAAGCTGCTTTTGACTCCTCCTCTCAAGGACAGCTCCAGCAGGTGGCTCAAGTCTGCATCGAGTTTCTGCCTTGGCCTTCAAGTGGCCAAAATCCTTCGCTTTTGGCCACTTGATCTGATGTGTCTCCCTGGTTGCTTTGCTATTACTAGCAAACTATTAATACTGCAGACTAGTGGGGCGTGCCACTGGTAGGCCTGTGTCCTCATCTATGTTGTTTACCTTCTCCATCACAGGACCTCTTTCTGCTACTTCCCACATTCCAGCACCATTGGGTTTCAATCCCAGCTTTGGGTCCCTATCGTCTGAACTGCTTGCACAATGCGAGGTCGTTGGTCTGTCTGCCTTTCATCTACCCCTGATGGATGTGTAATCCCCTACATGATGTCACGGAGGATTTTCTCATTGTTGTTTTCTGTTCCTGTCGTTACCTCTTGTTCCGTCCTGGTAGGCCCATCTTCTCTCGGAAGGCCTTCAGGTTGTTTTATTTTGTTCTGCTTGGTGCATCCTGGGGCTTCCAGGTTGCAAGTGGGTAGGGTGACTAGCCGCCCACTCCTGCTGCAGTCTGTCCTGCTGTCAACTGTCTTTCCAAGTTGTCCGCCAGTCTTTCCTAGCTGTCACCTGCCCTACAACATCATGTACAATACAATAGTGATGTTTCAACAGCAGAGTGACTGTAAATCTGGGCATTTATGACTGAGCTTGTACACAGAGGGACATTAACCATCTGGGATTTTTGTCTTTTCCACTTTTTGCCCAAAACACTCTGGGTTAATAAAAAACATTCCTTGTTAAAAGTCAGACACTTACAGAGTCAATGCTTCTTCACTTATGTTCAAAGATAATGGTACGTTTGAATGTTTTTGTGCTTGTGTGCTTTTAAGATACAGGTATTACTGCGGCCTCAAATAAGACAGCACCTGGGAATTAAATGAAAGTTAGACCAATATTAATATCAATGCATGATATACTCAAATTGTTCTCTTTTCTTGTTGTAAAACTGTTTTGGCTGTGAAGGTCCGACTGTAAGTCCTCCGGATACTAAAGAATTGTGGAATTGGACGTTTGTCTGGGTTTTCGCTGTTTGTGGATCTACTGTGGTCATCACAGTGATTGTTAATGTTATTCTTTGGAAGAAAAGAAGAGCTGGTGAGTCAAATGAAGTCAGAATCTTCTGTTATGTAGAAGACTGAAATATCAAACTTTTAAACTTTACTCTTTCAGTTTTTCTTTTGTAGTGAAATATTTGTAAGCTCTAAAAGTAGCGATTGTAAAATGGTAAATGTACTTGAGCTTGTATAGCACTTTCCTAGTCTTCTGACTACTCAAAGCACTTTTAAACTGCAGGTCACGCTTACACATTCACACACTGATGGTAGAGGTTGCAATGTCAAGTGTCCATCAGTATGAACTAATCCATTCATACAAATTCATATGCTGCTGACGAAGCAGCTGAAGCAATGCTTGTTGTCATGTAGATTGACATTAACATCACTCTAACCTCTTCTGCTGCAGGTATTGTAGAGAAAGAGTCCAGAAGGACCCAGAGAATGCCATCACTCATCACAACCACAGGTATGACATTGTATTTATTCAAGATCCCTTTTACGGACAAGTATTAACAGCAGGGAGCAACTTGGGGTTAAGTGTCTTGCCCAAGGACAGATTGGACGTGTGGCTGCAGGAGCTGGGGATCAAACCCTTGACCTCCTGGTTGAGAGACCGACTCTACCACTGAGACACAGCTGTCCCTTTAATCCCTATTGAAGGGTTAAAAATCTACTTTGAATATGTACTTGTAAGAGCTACTACTTCAGACAGACACATTTAAAACTAAATTGTAATGCATTTCGGGTATAATGAATTAAATAGTGTTTAATTTACTGAAGGTGCATTTGGAGAAGACATCAGAAAACATTGATGTCAGTAAAAGGGGTCAGGTTTGAATGGCTGCTCTAACATGCACCCAGCTGTAAAGGTTTTGGTGAAGCATGATAGAAGACTCCGCTGAGGAGACCTCGAAAAAAATGGCAACTGTTGAGTTCACATGGTTCACAGCTAGCCTATTAAAATAACTTCTGTGGTAAATGTCAGCTTGTGCATAAATAACCACAAAGAGCTGCAGCTCAAACTGAGTAAAAGACAAGCGTGGTAGACCACAGCGCTGAGACATGGAGACAGTGTCGGTGAGAACACTCTCATATCTCATATCTCATATCTCATAGCACTTCTGAACGTGAGCTGGAGGTGAGGTGAGGTGCATTTCTTAATAACATAAAGTGTTTCACAACCTTCAATTCTTAGCTGTGGTTGTCAGTGGCAGTTATAGACCACTTTTACTGAGGGGGCCAAACTGGGGCCAGTTGTTTTGTTAGAGGGGAACATTAAACCAAGGTGAAAAATGGACAAAGATAATTGCTTTTATATATATATATTATGCTAAATAATAGTGCACATCATTAAATACCATAATTTACATTTGTTTCCGTTAATATCACAGTAGATTGTGAGTACGGTTGTTGAGTTAAATACTGTGTATGTGTTATTAGGGGGGCTCTTCCTTTTGGAGGGGTGGCCACATGGGGGACCAAGCTCAGTGTCACAGGGGCACTGGCCCCTGTTGGCCCCTGCCAGAACCGCCCATGGTGGTTGTCTAAGCTGTAGTTCCCATAATGTTTCTCGTATCACCCTCCTAAACTAAGAACATATTTTATTGATGCATTCAAAAGTTTCCATTACCTATGACTGTGTTGTAATTTCTGGTGACTTTGTATTCACATCAATAATCTGAACACAAAACTGTTATTAAATGTGCTAGAAGCATTTGAGTTCTCACAGCGGTTTAAGGGGCCCACACGAAAATAAGGTCACACCATCGCCCTGATTCTATTTAAAGGACACAGTAAAGTAATAACGGTTACTGCTTTTCTCGATGTTGCAATTCAGATCACTTCTGCATCTTTTTTAATATGACCTGCAAACCAAGACATAACAATGTGGTTATCATTTCAAATACGCGTTCTATTAATGACAATACCACTGATATGTATATTAATACATGAACCATAATCATGTCATCATGTGATGAGATGAGGGCCAATTTAACTCTGTTGTTAGTCAAATCATTGGCAGCACTGCTCCCGTCAAAAGCCAATAAAACAACACGGCTGTGGATCAGTGATCGAGTCGTCTCTCAACCGGACAGTCGGGGGTTTGAACCCCAGCTCCTGCAGCCACATGTGGGCAAGGGCAAGACACTTACCCCAAGTTTCCCACTGCTTGTTGCTGCCGTATGCATGTGTATGAATGGGATTAGTCACTTCTGATGATCACTTCACATAACGACCTCTGTCATCAGTGTGTGAATGAATAGATGTGACCTGAGGTGTAAAAAGCGCTTTGAGTAGTCAGAAGACTAGAAAAGTCTACTATTAAAAAAAAAACAAAGACTCCTGGAGGAATGGAGAACAAGTGAGGATACTCAAAATCTCGCTGAAAGGCTGAACAAAAATGGTGAGATTAAAAGCTTTAGATATATTTTTAAATCTAGAAAAAGTATACTGACCTGTTAGAAAAAAATAACTGAAAATGTCAAAACAGCAACACATCTCAAAAATGATAAATTACAATACAAATAATACTCACTATCTCTTCTTCACAGTTAGTAAACTATTAAATCCTTATAGGTCAAATGCTGAGGAATTACTCTCTTTAAATGTAATAAGGTCGCCAGTTGCAAACTAATTAAAAAAATAAAATAAAATCTTGAGAATAAGAACTTACACTTTGAAATCATGTAACAGCAATTCCACCCTATCAGGCTCCTCTCATCAGCCCACATGTGTCCAAGTTAGTACTGTACAGTACCTACCTCTCCTCTTGACCCTATTCCCACAAAACTGTGTAAATGTGTCCCTCACAGCCTGTTACATGACTTACATCATGTTGTAAATGATTCTCTTCAGACTGGTTTTCCCCACTTCTCTAAAACCTGCTACAGTTACTCCTTTACTAATAAAAACAACAAACCTGACCCATCAATCATTACCAACTACAGACCAATCTCCAACCTTCAGTCAAATTCTACAAACAATTACGGTTACCATCCATTCACAGTCTGTATGATCTGTACCAATCAGGTTACAGAGCAAACCGCAGCACTGAAACTGCCACTATGTGATCAATGACCTGGAAATCAACCGTATTGTATTGTGTTTGTTTTTGTTTCTCTTCTGTCAAGCATATTGAGTTTAATTTTGTATGAATTGTGCTAAACAAATAACATTTTATTGAGTTAATGCATCTAAAAAACTGCATCTTTCCCAATCCTGTTTCTAAGTTTACTTTATTACATCATCCTCCATCTCTGGTAGTTGACTCGTCTCCCCTTAAATCAGTACACCCCTTAAAAAAGGAAAAGTAAAGACAATTAAAATGAGTCTGACAGGAAGAACAATAATCACATTTTCCAGATATACCAGATGATCAAGTTGGTTTCTGTCTTTTCCCAGCGGTCTTTGTACCATATTACTCTACCATCTATGAGGGTCAGACTGCAGCAGCCAGCAAGACATGATCTACAGCAAGCTGCAGGCACACTGACATGCTAACAGTTTAAAAGTGTGTTCAAGAAGAGAAGAAGTTGACTGATGTGATGTAGAACCAGAGGTACCCATCATGGACCAGACAGCAGCTGTCATATTTCTGAGGTAACGGTAACGGCCCGAGCCCCGATGGTTGGGGACCCCTGATGTAGAGTAATCCTGAGCTTCTGTCATGTCTTCTTCTCAAATCAACCAAGATGTAAAACGAACCCAAAGTTTTCCAATGTCTTTCAGTCAGAATATCAAGTTCAATCCAAAAGTGTTTGATTGAAGGTGAAGACAATATTTTTGGATTAACTTCGTCTCAGTCTTGTTGTTTGCTCACTTCTGCACAAACACTGTATGCTACAGACCCAATGCAAAATATTTGAATCTTTGTACATTTTAAATAAACCTGAATTAATGTGTTGAGGTTTCTTTTCTTTGTTTGCCTTTTTAATTTCATTACTTGGTTCATATCAGACCTTACACAACCTGCAGTTATAGCCCCATAACAGCACACACACACACACACACACACACACACACACACACACACACACACACACACACACACACACACACACACACACACACCTGATACAACAACATGATCTCTTAATACAGCTCATAAATACAGATATCATTTTTTTTCTGTTTTTATTCTTGAAATTTAACAGGATGTATATAAACCAATCATCTAAGAGTAAAACAGCGCTGTCCCCCTCACAAATCTCCACAGTGTTTGTTGTTTAAGCAGGAAGAAGGACCAAGATGCACTTGACGCGCCGACATTTATAAATTTTTAATTGCTGCCACCTTGTGACCAAAATCAGCATTACAAGTGTGAACCTGACAGCCCATTTCCACTGGACCTCAGAGGCCTGTACGATGAAGGTTTGTCTAACTGTCTTTGTAGTACAGTGATGTCCTAAACAGAATCATGTCTGTTTTTAACACAGCTCCGTCTGAGGACCTAAAGATCACGGCAACCAGACATTGGATTTTGGCCTCTTTAAGATGCACAGAGCTTTTTAAAAGGCCCAATACTTATATCGTATACATTTTCTCCCTGTCACAGATTTCTCTTTAAATAAGAGATGTTTTTAGGTGGCTGTTAAAAGAAGTTTATTTTGTGTCACTGTGCAGCAGCACGTGTAAAGGTCATGGGTCCAACAGCCAGACAGAAGAAGTATTCAAACAATTACAACTTAACAAAAATAAAATGTGTCTATCCTTTCTAAATCTTTGAAGATTGCTCAGTGATGAACACCAGATGGTTGTTTTCTTTCAGGCTTTATGTTTCTTGAAGTCTCTTTTTATCCACAAGGGGGCAGCAGATGCTTGTTATAGAGATCCAGTGCCATCGTTTGTAGAGAATTTGATCTAATCAGACTATTATCACTGAAGCAGCAGTGTTATCTTGCATTTAGGTAACAATACTTTATTTATATAACACTTTGAAGATGAGAGCATTAAAGGGCTTTCCAGAGATAAGAGAAAAAAAACATCACAATTAGAAAATAAAATCACAAAACATCAAAATGTAAATATACAGTTAAAAGATTATTTTAGTTCAGTTAAAAAATGTACTCCAGGGCTCTTATAAAATAAGCTGTTGGCTAAAAAGGTGAGTCTATAAAACTGTGTCTTAAAACAGGATTTTAAAAGCAGAAACAGAGTCTGCTCCCTGAGTGGGAGTCTGTTTCAGAGCTGAGGAGTCATCACAGCAAAAGCTTGATTAACCTTTGACCTCGACATCATACCTTGACTTTGATATGATGAGCAGGTCTCATGTGGCCGATCTAAGAGGACTTTTTGGGGCAGCAAGGCGTTAAAAAAATCTGCTGGTGTATTCTAGTGCCAGGCCACATAAAGCCTTTTAGGGAATGAGTCAAATTTAATAATGAATAAAGAAACAGGTAATCAGTGAAGTGAAGCTTAAACAGAGGTGATGTGTCAGGTTTGCTTTGTCTTTATGAGAAGTCTGGTTGCAGAGATCTGAAGTTTGTTTGTGGCTCGTGTACTGAAGCAGGTAAACAAGTGCATTACAATAATCTAGACATAACGAAATAAAAGCAAAACGACAGATATCACTTTTGTCAGAATTGAATTGGTGGAAGTTTTGTGACATACAGCGTCTCACATTGATTCAGCAGCTTTGTAGCTTTGTTTATAACATTTGGATGGTTTTATAATTGGATATACATAATTTGATGTCATCAGAATCTTTATGAAATGAAATGTTGTGATGTCATGTGATATGGCATAATGGAAGCATGTATGTGCACACATACATGCGAAGAACTTGTCAGATATCAAATTTTAGGGATAGCCCATACAGCACACAGCTGTGAGACGGCTAACACATTAGCATCGATTCAGAGGAAAATGGCTGCCATGTGAATATAGTGGCTGACTATGTCTTGTTAAAATCAACACTTTTTATAAATATAATTGTTTACAGCCAACGTAACACTTATTATTAATTATAATAAAAAAACTGTGTCTAACTGGAATAACTTTCTGCAGATAAGGCTGTTCTGAAAATGTATCACTAAAGAAATCAACAAATGAAAAACATAGTATATCAAATATGATCAAGATTGAAACTTTAAAACAGTCTGTGGGCCGAACCAGTGAGGCTTTTATACCCAGAATATTAATCTTTAATAAAATGTTTTAGAAACATTTATTTTTTTGTATTTTTGTGTAAAACAACTGGAACAAAAATAAGAATTTGCAGACCTGAAGGTGGCGACCCCCCCCAATGTCTGTACGGCCTGAACCTCCCCTTTAAAGCAGAAAAAGTTTCTACAAAGGTAGAAGTTGAGGATCCTCTGAGCAGGAACCCATTTCACCTCTACTGCACGTTGAGCCTGATTAGGGATAGCAGCTTCCCCAATCACCTGATCCAACTTACCATAGGTGGTCATCAGTTGACAGCTCTGCATTTCTCTTTACTCAAGTGTCCAAGACAGACTTCAGATCTGGAGTTATGACTGCAGAGTTCATCATCCATCTTTGGCCTGCCACTTTTCTGCCACGTACACTTGTGAAGTATCCCATGGTTAATACTTGTGTTGTCAATTTAATACGAAAAAATTCCTGTCATTCCATGACTCAGCATTTTTGCCAACATTAGCAGTGATGTCTCCCATGAAGTCTTAGGTTGGAGCCATCCAGGTAACTCATCTAAGGCATGCAGGGAGGCTGCTTTATTTTAAGTTCTGTCCACTATATGAAGAGATAGGAGTCGGAGCTTATCTCTTGTTAACAGGCAACACTGGAGATGATCCTCACATATGCAAGGGAAAAAATGAGTACACCATGAAGTTAATCTTCATTTGATCTCCGTCAATGGGAAGCTCCCATTTTGTAAAAGTATAAAGACTTGTAGAAGTATGTCGGATAAAAATGTAAAAATGAGTGTGTTGGTTGAAACATGTTCAATTATTCCTTTCATGTCATTTTTCCAGCGTGAATGGAAAATGTTTTATGTTATGTTGTTATTTCTTTGGCTTTTTGAGGTCATCACCGAAGCCTCCAAAAATATATATCCTGCATGAAACGTTTCATCTCTGTATTAACCTTTACATCACTATGATTCCAGCCTCTGTGTCATGTATCTTATTCTCATCAGGATGTCTTATCTTAAAACAGCCTGTGCAGACTGTTTGCAGGGATTTTATCTGCTTTGTTTGATATATGCCCTCCTAGTTTGACCTTGAGTTTGTATATCAATGACTTATTTCAAGAAACAGACTTCTATGTGCTGAAGAGCAGTCTGAACAGAGCATGTTAGAGCGAGCACACATACACACAGGCCACAAAGTTTGACAAATATTCTAGTGTATGTAAAGGCAGATGAATCGGTGCTTTGTGGTCGAGTCACAGGGGAATAGTGCCCACCCTGCTGGCTCCTCGCACCGCTTGCTGCTATGTTCTCACACATGGTAAGTGAGCCAGATGTGATACAAGTAGAGTTCATGCCACAAGAAGAGTCATATGCCAGTGACAGATACTGATGAACTGGGATGTTTGATGCATTTGTGTAAAGAAGAGACAAAGGAGCTGCAAAATCACAACTGAGGCTTCAAAATTCATTTTCTCATTAGTCAGCCTTATATGGCCTCACAGTACCTAGAAATAAAAACGGAAGCCTATTTTCTGCTGTGTCTTCCTGTTAAACAGCAAACCTGCAAAAATTAAGCAAAATGTGTCATATTTGAGTGGGCTGCTCTCATAACATCCACAAGTTTACCCTCACGTCACTTCTAGTGCTCCCTGCTGTGTGTGGCCTCTGCCATGTTTCCTCCTGTGGTCAGAATCTCCTGGAGACAACAGAGTGCGGATGTTTAGAGGAGCTGCCCTCTGCTGACGGACAGCAGCTGGAGCTCAGAGAGTCTGGATGTACTGCCTCTGTCTTACAGATCTATCAGACAAAGTCAACAGAGGACTGACGTTGTTGATGATTTTATTCTTTTTCTGTTCCAATCACCTGCAGCGGATCCCTCTGTCCCGTCTCCATACAAGGTGAAGCTGCTCTTGCTCGCTTACAGTGCTGACAGTGAAGAGTCTGGTGTACTGCTGTGGACTCTTCCTGCTGACCGTCCTCAGGAACAAGAGTCCGTCCACAAACTGCACACATGCTGGATGACTATGTTTTACTCTATTTTCTATCCCACATCATCTCATAAATGTATCTCCTATATCGCTTAGATGAATTTAAAAATGTCAATCACGACTAAATATATGCAATTATGATCAAACAACATTTTGCATCAGTGTAAAACAAATCCTATATTATATACAGTAAATGTTATTGTTTTGTATAATACTTTAGCAAATGATGCGCAATGTTTAGAGCTATTAGCAGCTAAGATGCTTTCTTAATTAATCAGGCCCTCAGTCTCTCGTAACAAGCTCTCTTTATAATTTCACA